AAAATAATGCAATAAAAATAAATTGTTTAAAAAAATTTTTGAATAAATTATTTAGAAAAAAGTTTTCAGTTTTTTGCTTTATTACCCCATTAAAGCAAGGTGCAGGCAGTCATAAACCCTTTTGTCAGCGACAGGAAATTCAATAGCAGCGGTCCCAATCGGTCCACTACTGTACCTTTTTGTAAAGATTTTTCTATTATAGCGAGTTATTTACAACTTTAAAACCTTCGTCGAGTGATCTGCACTAAAGGTATCGGCAAGACTGCCTGCACCTTGCTTTAATGGGGTAATAAAGCAAAAAACTGAAAACTTTTTTCTAAATAATTCATTAAAAAATTTTTTTAAACAATTTATTTTTATTGCATTATTTTCAATACCATACTGTACGTAATTTATAGTTTATCTTAAATCTGTATTATTATTTGCAAAGGCGATGACTTTTTATCTTTGTTTTAAATAATAACAAAAAGTTAATGCAATAATTCAAAAAATTTTATATATATTGTTTTAGTAGGGTTTAAACTTCATAGAAAAAATTCAGCATAACAATGCAATACTTATTGAATAAGCTACAAGCTTTCAAAGTAGGCCCCTGTCAAAATGCTTCAAAAAACCATGTATTTTTCACTCTCGAAAATCCGTAAATAACGCAAAAAAATTTTTTATTTCTTGCATTTCCGTATACTAACGTAGAAATAGTGTCTCTTCTAAATCCAAGTTGTCCGATTAACGTGTGAATTTTTTTACCTGGGTTATGAGCTTTCAAAAACAGGGGCCTATACTTTTTGAGCCGATACTAGGAATAAGTATTTAAATATTTAATGTAGGTACTACTACACTTAAGAATTTAAAAAAAATTTATTTTTTTTTATTGTATTTTTTAACTCCTTATGACTTCAGAAAACACCTCCTAAAGTATTTATAACCAATTGTAACAAATAAAAGTAAATTTTTGAAAAAATATTCAATTAATGTAAAAAGTCATTGACAAATTAAGTAAGTCTTTAAGGGGATGGTAGGGTCCAGCTTGTTGTTACGACCAGTAGAAACATTGGTGCTAATGTATGTGACAGTGTCTGACATAAAAAAAATGGTGGGGTTTCAATTTGCAAAAGAATTTTAGGTAATTTATGAATGGCCTCTAACGATACATATAAGTTTAAACGCGTTTTTCTCAAAATAACGTTTTCTCAAATTGCGGACAGTTTATCTCTGAATCTACTGAACCGATTTTAATAAATGATAACTCGTTTTGTTTGTTAGCATGTCCTGTGTGAGAATTTACCAGATAATGGTCAAAAAATTAAAATAAAAACATTTTTGCAGACTAGAAAAATACTGAAAAACATAGTGTATTTTTAAACAAATTATTGAAACATCTGCTATTTTTTTATTTTAGTCGATTTTTCATTATTGGTGGTAGATTTCTATGCAAGACACCTTCCTTTTTAAAAAGCAATTTGGATTTTTTGTTTCCGATTTGTCAATCTTGAGATAAACTGTCCGCAATTGAACAACTAACTTTTTGGAGTTTCGATCTGAATGCTGTCTGCAGATTATGATATTAAATAAAAATTAAAAACAAAATATTATTTTTATTCTCCAAATATGTACTAATAAAGGCAAAAATAGTATATTGTGCATCTAGGGAGGAAATCATTTTCCTCCCGTGGTGCACATACTATTTTTTCTAATACACGTAAACGGAAAGTACAACCACTTCATAAAAAATTTTAACGACAATAGTGTTTTCAACCGAAAGTTTTTTATTGGTTTGGTTTGGTTTTGGTTATTGGCCTTTTAGTCCCCGAAGTAGCCATGTATTCGAAAGTTTATTATAATAATAGTATAATTTTTAAAATGATTAATTATTTAACAATTTTCAATAAAACATATATTTAGTCGTAAATAAAGATACATTTTATTTTGCTTCCTCATGAGGAAGCTTTGCATTGGTGACGATTTTCAATTTTTCAAAAGAAGGTTATATGGACTCATTTTCATCTAAAACATATGTATATTCAATTATGTATCAGCAAATGTCCAGATGTGTGTGTGTATGTATGTATGTGTGTGTGTGTGTGTGTGTATGTCACAAAAATTGTGTACAAATTATCTCAGACAAATTTTGATGGATTGTCCTGAAATTTTGCAGGTTTATTGCAGTCATTAATACCTAAAATCTGACACAAGGATTTTCGAAAATATCTACAAAAATTTTTTTTATACAATTTTTTTAAAATTCAGAAAAAAATTTTTTTTGTATTTTTTGAAATAATTTTTTTGTCCAACGCCTGCAGTGGAATTGAACTATTGTACGCTAGGCACCAGTGGAGGAAAGTACTACTTTCCTCCACTGGTGGTTTGGCCAGTGGAGAAATGAGTTTAATGACTGGAAAAAAAATAGAATTATTTGTGTTTTCCTTTTAAATTGTTAATATTAATGTAACTTACGTAACTAACCTAAGGGTATGACTTACATAGTTTACGCAAGGTACGCAATTTACGTAAGTAACGTAACATACCCAAATACGTAAGTTATGTTCTTACGTAAAATACGTAAGTTATCTTCTTGCGTAAATCACGTGAGTTTGTATTCTTACGTAATTTACGTAAATTATGTTCTTACGTAACAATAACCAAATCATAAAGAGTTTTTTGCTTTGAATTATTAAAAATGTAATACATTAGTGAGTTACACATTTTGAAATATTAATTATAAACATTGTTATAACCACAAAAATCTTATAAATAAAAATTGAGTTAAATAAAATAAGTTTTGCAGTTGTTGGACAAAGTATCGTGTACAATTCGTGGAGAAAAACGATTTTCGCTCGCTTGATTGCTGCACTCGCTACGCTCGAGCAGCAAACTTCAGCTCGCGAGAAATCGCCCTTTTTCTCCACTCGTTGCACAATATACTATTATTTGTTAATATTTTCATTAATTTTTCTCAAAATTACATTCCTGGCAAGAAAACGAATCGATTGATGTATACAAAGTATATATTTTATCAAAATTTATCAAATTAATAAATATTTTTCTTTTTAAAAAAAATTCAAATTTTGTATTTTTTTCATAATTTATTTAATATTAATATTAATATTAATATTTTGAAATGATTATTCTATCATAAAAAAGAAGCAATTGGCAAATGAAAGTGTAAATTTCACCAAATATTTATATAACAACTTATAAATTATAAATGATTTATATAATTTTATTTTTAACAAAACTTCTGGACGAACCCTTTTGTACATAGTTTTTCAAAAGTTTGCAAAACCGCAATTTTTATACATTGAGGAAGCTTAATGGTCATGAAATGAACAACTTGTTTACATTGTTATTAAAATATAATTACATGTGATTTTGGACGACAGGGAGGTAAAGTACTTTTCTCTCACCGCTATGACGTCACGGGGAGGTAAAGTATACTTTTCTCTCCCCGTTATGACGTCACGGGGAGGTAAAGTAACATTCCCTCCCTCTCGTCGGAAAAGACATACTTTCCATCCTCTACACAGGTAAGAAATGATGTACTTTCCGTGCGAGTGTAAGAAAAAGTTTTTTAAATATTTATAATAAAAGACCTAAGAAAATTTTTTTTCTAATTTGGTCTTTTAAGAGCCTTTTAAAGTGTAGTAGTACCTTAACAATATTATTAAATTTTTGAATAATTGAATTTAGAAAATTTTTAAAAAATAGATTTTTGAAAAATTTGAATTAAAACTTTTTTTAGATGTACATTTTTTCAATAAATTTTTCTTAAAAACAATTGAATTTCCAATGGTAAAATTAAAAATGAAAAAATTTGATTGAAAAATTGAATTGAAAAATTGTCTAACAATTGTAAATTTCGTCAAATTTTATCGAAAATTGTAAATGCACATTTTGGAAAATTTTATTTCTATTAACCCTCCATCCGTCGCATGGTGAGAATTTCCCTCACCCAGTTTCTTTTTTTCTTTATAACTTTTAAAATACAAAAAATTATAATTTCATATTCTCAGTACCTTTTACGGCACTCTTCTTCTTTACATTAAAACAATTTTGGTGTTTTTTTATATTTTAATTTCTTTGTTATTGAATTTGAAAGCAGCAAATGTCGGGGATTTTTGACGCGAAGTGAGGGAACTTCTCACCATGCGACTGACCGCGTATACTCGATTTCATTTGTCATTAATTTTTTATTTAAATAATTAACACGAAATAAAAGTTAATTTTACTGCCAATAGGTTGTTTAGAAATTCTAATGAACATTCAAAAAAAATTTGGCATTTTAGAACAAGTTTGGACTAATTTATGAGGGTGAAAATTTCCCTCACCTGCGACGGATCGCGTTACAAAAAAAGGTGCGACGGATGGAGGGTTAAAAATAATCGTATTTTGCAAAAAATATTTAAAAATATTTTGGAAATAATTGAAAATTTCGAAAACTTTGAACTGAATAGTTTATAATCAGAATAAGAAAAAAAGTTACAAATTTTTTCTGAAAATCAAAAAAATATAAAATAAAATTTTTGTGTCAATCCGAAATAAAATAAACGACTTTTTCGACTTTTTTCGTAAAATTTTGACTAAAATGACATATTTTGCGTTTTAAACTCAATCCGAGGCCTTTCAACTACTATTTAAATTAATTGTAAATTATTTAAAATATTAAAAGTTTTTAAAATTTTAATAAATTATGTATTTAAATTTTTTTAATATAAAGTTATTAATTATTATACCCATTATTAATTTATATTTTATACAAATAATACTAATTTTAAAAAACGGAATGAAAAACTTTGATAAGTTGATAATTATTTTTTTAAATATTAAATTGAATAAACAGTTTTGAAAAAAGTATTGAAAAAATCCCTGTATAATTTTTTTCCTCTTTAAGATATTTGAATGCCTTTTTGATAATATAGTAAAAATTATAAAAAAAAAATTTTTATTTATGTTTAAAATTTGAAAAAATGATTTTTTCTTTCTGGGTTTTTAATGGGACTCACTTTCGAAATTTTTTTCGAGCTCGATGATGAGCTTCTAGGCCATCGGATAGGGATTTCAGTGTCTTGACATCGACCTGACTGAGATTGTTGCCATTGCCCCCGCCCCCGTACCAACGAACCCAAACGATAAGACTTCCTTGTGCTCCTAAAGATTCAACCTTTCCCGGCCAGGCTGTACTTCCCCGAGCTGCGCCCCAAACCACTTCACCGACTTCAAGTTTCCACGGCTTCGCGGCATCTCCCTCTTCCTTGGAGGGTACTACTGAGAGGTCCAAAATAAATTGTCTCAATTTCGTTTCCATTTTCTCCTTTTACCATTTTCAAAATTTGTTTACAAAATTTTTCTCCCTTTTGGAGTGAACTTGAAAATTAAGGACTTATACTCAAAATATAAATTGAGAATTGATTTTAAAAAATTTTAAATATAGAAAAAGAATTTGACGACTAATGATAACATTGGATTGTACTATCAGTTGGTATCGAAAACTGGAGAAATTGAATCAATTATCATCAATTTTAATAATTTTGATTTTAATTGATTGTCTTAAATAATTTTATTTCTTTCTTTCTTTATTTTGATAATAAAAAATTTTAGTTGTTTAATAAAATTTAATTTTTTCTATTTTTTACTTGTTCTTTTTCGAAATATTTCCAAAACTTTAATTTGCTTCACAGAAATTTTTTTTTTTAATTTATTCTAATATAAATAATTTATTTTGTTTATTTTTTTACTTTTCATTTAGTATTCTCTCGCGTAATTTATAATAATAACAAAGACACAAAAATAGAAAAGAAATACCTATATACCTCAAAATAAACAAATAAATATGTTTATTTTTGTAATAAATACAAAAAATAATAATAATAATAATAGGTATAAATAAATAAAATTTAAAATAAATGTAAAAAATTGAATACCTATAGAAAATTAAAAAAAAATTGTAAAATAAGAAAACAAAAATTTTTTTGAGAGAAAAACTTTGTAAAGATTTTTTTTCTTTTTACAATAATTTCTTCTAATTCTTATGCTGTAAATTTTCTTGTGTCAATTTTCTTTGATTAGAGTAATTAAAAATTTGTTATCTTCACATAAAAACAAAAAAATCCAATTTTATTAAATAATGACCCAAACACAATTAATAATTATTAATTAATTTACAAGAATGGGCTTATTTTCTAGCGATTGTGATACTTATCTAGCAATAAAGCAACGTGTGTGCGTGAATTTTCATGGACCGTGAAAAAATGACTGCAAAAAAGTAGTACCATTGAAGTATTAAAAAACAATTTTTTTTGTTACAAAATTGTAGATTAAAAAAGATTTTCTTTTGCATTTATTTTCAAAATAAAAAACTAAAATTTTATTTGATAATTAATATTGGTGTAAAAAATAAGTTTCAAAGTGAATAAAAAAATAATATACATACGAAGAGTTAAATTTCAATAATTTATTCTATGCGATAAAAATAAAAATTTTTTTTTTCATTTAAAATCAATACGACTACTTTTTTCTGTTACTATTTTGCGATTTTCAAACAATCAAAGTTTCTTAAATGGAATGTGGGACGTCATGCAACAATAATATTATTAAGGCTTTTGAATTAATTACCTAAAAATTATTCCAATTAAATTCAAATAAATTCAATCTTGTCTTGATAAATCGTTTCTTAAATTTAACCGTTAAAAAAGCTACGAATTATTTCTTAATTCGAGATTTTCAATATCAATTTATTTAGTACAAAAGTTAATAATCTAAACCTTAAAGATAAACCTAAAAAAATTAGATCGTAAAAATATCAAATTAAAGTGAATTCAAAATTTAAATTCATTTATATAAATTCTCAAACTCTTTAGATTTAATTTCTGATCGTAAATAATCTTAAAATTACGAATATCTTGAGATTCAATATGTTCATGTTATTCTCCACCTGCGAACGCCAATGTCATCACTGGATGGTGTTGATTTCCACGTCACCTGGTGGCGACCTTGGAGTTCTTAAGTGGAGAAATTAAACCACCATTTTTATCAAAAGAATTGTTTTTCAGTCAGAAAATGTTATTGTAAGAATAATTTAATTTTTCCACGAGTAAAAAATTTGATCAAATCTTTACTTTCCTGTTAAATATTTTATTATTTTAGTAAATTTTTTTTTAAATAAAATTTTAGTAAAATTTCTTTTTCTATAGAATTTAAGAAAAAGTGTCAAGGGGTAATTCACATATTACGTGATATTTAGGTATTTTAGACCCCCTCCCCCCTGTGTGATACTTTTTCTATAGTTTAGTACCGTAGAATCTCCTACAAGTTAAGGGGGCAACCCTAGTTGTAGCGCGCAAAAATTGACCATTTTCATAAATTAAATAAAAAAAAATCCACTAACATTTTTGAATAAAACAATTTACTGTCTAAAAGTACACAATTTAAACTACAAATTCCGACAAAAAATTTTAAAAAACATTTTAAAATGGAGGCGTGGTGCGCATTCTTGTCGAGGTATCAAGAAGACTATAGAGACAGGAGGTAAAACTTCGGTAGTGGGGGTATGGCAATGCTGAGTCGCTCAGCTGATGTATGGTCAGGCGTTTACTTTCAAAAAAAGTTTTCGCCGCAGTAGACCAGACGGACTTCTGCGCAATCTAAATCTAACACACGTAAACACGGGAAAATATATTCTATACAAATACAATATGAAATATAAGTGTTTATATTTTCAAACATCTTTTAGTTATTAAAAAAACGTTTTAAAAACAAAAAAATGTGTAAACTGTAGCATGAAGTGTATTAAAAGTTAACAAAAAGTAATAGTCATAGTGTTGTGTAGGTTTATCTTTCTTCTTGATACAACTTTTCACACAGCACGTTTTCGGAATTTTTAACTATTTGAATAACACTTAATTTAATAATCACTCACATTATTTCTATATATCCGTTATGACACACATTGTCATTTGTGTCTCGATTGCACTGATTGCACTTTAAAGTTAACCTCAAATTAAAATCATATCATACACATATGTAAAACATATGGTATACAAGAATTTGAATGTGTGAGTGATGTGCAGAAGCACCGCGCCGGCGACTTTTCGAAACGAAAAACGCCTGGTTAAAGAAAGGTTCTTGACTCATCCCCACTACCGAAGTTTCACCTCCTGTCTCTAGCCTTCTTGCGAGGTATGCATAATTTGCGGTGACTACGATTATAAGGAGCTGGTTCATCTGAAACACAAAATTCAAACGAATTTAGTTAAAGTAGAAGATAATCTAGTCTTTAATCGAAGGATTTAGTTTTTTATGAAAAACTTTTTTTTACAGCTGAAAAACATTTTTTTTTTTGAAAATCGAAAAATTGAGTTTGAGCCGTTGCCATTTTGTCAAAAATGTATTTTTTTTAAATCTTCGATTAAAGACTAGATTATCTTCTACTTTAACTAAATTCGTTTGAATTTTGTGTTTCAGTTGAACCAGCTCCTTATAATCGTAGTCACCGCAAATTATGCATACCTCGACAAGAACGCGCACCACGCCTCCATTTTAAAATGTGTACTTTTAGACAATAAATTGTTTTATTTAAAAATGTTAGCCCAAGCAGCACGTAAGCTTATCTTGACATCACTGTAATATTACATTGGAGATTCGTCATATTACACTGTAATATTACAGTGATCTTACTGGGATATCAAAATGTACGCCTGGAGGTAATATTACGTTGTTATATTAAGAGAATATTACATGGTAATATTAAGGTAATGTTACACTGTAATATTAACGTAATGTTAAGGTAATATTCAGATAAAATTAGAATAATTTTATAATTTGGAAAAAAACATTTCACAAAGCTGGACTCGAACCCTGAACCATGTGCATAGTAATCATGAGTCTTACCACTGAGTCAAACTTACTTGTAGTGTATTAAGATTCTCGACGGTATATAATCTTTGTAAGTTTTTTTAGCTTTATGATTTTTTTTTATAAATTATAAAATTATTCTAATTTTATCTGAATATTACCTTAGCATTACGTTAATATTACAGTGTAATATTACCTTAATATTACCATGTAATATTCTCTTAATATAACAACGTAATATTACCTCCAGGCGGACATTTTGATATCTCAGTAAGATCACTGTAATATTACAGTGTAATATGACGAATCTCCAATGTAATATTACAGTGATGTCAAGATAACCCTGGTAAAAATTTCGGACTAATTCCGGATTAAATACGGACAGATTAGTACGTATTAGTCCGAAAATTGTACGAAAAAGGTCCGAAAATGATCCGCGCTAGTCTCATATCAATCCGAACGAAAACCTGAATCCGAAAACACTCCGGAGTAATCCTGAATATCTACGAATTCAGTCCGCAACAATCCAAATTTATGACCGGTGAAGAATTCTCACAGAAAAAACATATACTCAAAATGAGTATCATATGATACTCATTTTGAAGTGCAACAAAAATGATACCCCTTCGACTCATTCTGAGTTTCTGGGGAAAAGACTCAAAATGAGTAAAAAGCGGTATCATTTTGGATTTATGATAAAATTACAATAACATTGGAATAACTGGGAATAATTCATAAAAATATAAATTAAAATAATTGTTTATAATGAATAAACTCTTTGCACTTGTCAAAACATTTATACTTGAAGTCGATTTATCGCATTTATGAGAAATGAAAAACGAATTTTTAGGTTAGACATTTGTGAATTGACTGACAGGGATGGGCAACCATATGTCATTTTACTCATTTTGTGTAACTTGAAGTTGCCGATTACTCATTTCGAGTCACTTGAAGTTGCCGATTATTCATTTCGGGTTACTTGAAGTTGTCGATTACTCATTTCGAGACCGACTTCCAAATGCGTTGCAACAAAAGTGAGTCGAGTTTTTTTCTGTGCTTCTAAAATAAGTACGGAATTATCCGATATCAATGTGTAAAGAATACGGAATCAGTCCGCAACAATCCGAGTTTAATCTAGTTAAAAAAACTTAATCCGCAAAATGTCCGGAGCAATCCGAACTCTGTAAGCTAGAAATCCGGTATTAGTCCGCAACAATTTGAAATTGAATGTGGCAAAATCCTATTCCGAAAGAAGTACGAAACAATCCGAAATCTGTATGCTAAGAATCCGAAAATTGTCTGCAACAATCCGGATTTAATCCAACTAAAAGGTATAATCCGAAACAAATACAAAATAATCCGAAATCTGTACACAAAGAATCCGACATTAATCCGCTTCAATTCGGAATTAGTGT